CGAAGGCTGTTCCCGGGGGAGCCTCGTCACCTTGGCACTGCCTTCCTGGCCGCCGTCGTTCACCCCCCGCGCAGGGCGGAAGCAGCAGCTGAGGGCCGCCATCTTAGTACCGGAAAGAACCGTACAGCCTGACGGCGGCCTTTCAAAGCCGCGTTCCCCACTGACCATGCGCGGCAGTCGCGGCATTTCAGTAGTGAGCATGCGCGGAGAGCGGGAGGAGGGAGTTTCTCCGAGCGGGCGGGGATTGCCTAGTGGGAGGAGCCGTCGGTCCTGGGGGCGGGGCTGCAGGGGGTAGAGTCCTTGTTGCTGCCACTTTGGGAAGTGGTCTCGCAGGGTCCCCGAAAGCAGGATTTTGCATTTGGATCTTCATGATTTCTCGGTCTATTTTCAGAATCATTTTTTAACACATTTTGAATTAATATATTTTACTTTTAATTATTCTGGATTTTTAATTTTTTATTGAATTGTTTTTATATTCAATGCAAGCATGGCATGCAGGACTGCAGAGGCAGCGCAAGGCCCTGAGGCCTGAATGTTGCTCTGGAGCCCAATCCTAGCATGTGGGGGACCAGCAGAGACTTCAGGGGGCCAATCTGAGGATCGTGGACCCTATCCTGGTGCATCTAGCCAATGAACCAGCCCTGCACCACTCATCTGGCCCATGGGGCCAAAACGTTGAGGTCCACTGCTGTAGGTCAGTGGTTCTCAACCAGGGTGCTATACACCCTGGAGTGGTCTCTTAAGAGTGGTGCAGGCTGCTGTGCAGTGTTAGCACAAGTGAGCAAACATGATTGTATTTAGTGTTCTGGATTCCTCTTTGAAGCCTCTGGGATTACTTTTATCATTCTGACCAGTTGGGGTCTTTACAACAAAATAATGGCTCTGTTAAATTTTCTGTAGTTGGAAAAACAAGTGAAAACTGGGCACTGGCATTTTTGAAGGGGTGCTTTGAATCTAAAAAGTCTGAGAATGCCTGCTCCAAGGCTGAGTGCCTTCAGTTCCCACTAGGCTGATTCTCCATTTTCTTACACGGCAGCAATCTCACTGACGTCAGCACAGTGATGTTGCAGTATCTGGTGTTTTTTCAGTCACGTGGGTTATGATTCTGCAAGATGCTCAGTTCCCTTATATGAGCTAGTAAGCCTGAATCTTGCTTCTCTTTATTGTAAGCCTCCAGCCAAACGCTTTAACCTCTATGGACACTCTGTCACTGACCTCGGAGTAGCTGTTTTTAGACAATGAAACTTTAAAAAACAATTTGAACAGCAAATTGTGAAACAAATCATATACAGACTTGATTTTCTTAACTGGGGTCCAAACTGAGATTACAAATTCTCATCCAATTACTTCGACTTGCTTTTATAGCCCCTATATCCCTCAGTGGGTTAACTGCTTTTTCTTTCTTCTACACACTTGCCTCTCACAGCAGTGTCCCTTCATTTTTCTTCTCCCCTTACACTCTCCCCCTTTCTTCCATTTTGTATCCTAATGACTACTTCATATTTAGAAGTTTTGCTTCTTGCAGTCTTAAAAAAAAAAAAAAAAAAAAAAAAAAAAAA